AGGAAACATATTTGTATCACAACTAGTGCACTAAATGAAAGTGAGGGATAATTTCTTCGTGAACTCTCATGCATCTCATGACATCTCTTACTTGGACCTAGTTGTGTACTTCGATTTCCATCTCTATACATGACTTGAGTCTAAACTTTTTTGTGCTTAAAAGGAGTGTTACATTTCTTGAAAACTTGAATTGGATGAGAACCTGCATATTTGGCCACAAAAAAAAAAAAACCTAGTGAAGTGAGGTATAAATGAGCCAAAAAAAGAGCATCACTAAATGCTTTCGACTTTCCTTAATGAATCTTCCAATTGAGCGTATCTTCAATGGTTGTATATTCTTGAACTTGCCTTGTTATACACTTCAAAATCATTTATGGTTTTATGCACAAAGAGGATGAGGCACCTAGGATTAACCACTTTTGGCTTGCAAAAAACACCCACCCTTGTTATTGTCCCCTAGTTAACCAAGTTGAGCTTTTGAGCTTAATTTTTCATTTAACCTACTATATATTAGCACATTATCCTTATTTTGGCTTTCTCTTCATCCCTTTTCAAAGGAATTTGGAATTTCATTTTAATGTGTAATGATTGGGGAATGGGATAGCATGTTGGTGCTTTGAGATGTGTTGATATGTAAAAAAAAAAAAAAAAGCTCTTTGAAAGAAAATGAAAGAAAAAAGGGGGTAAATGAGAAAAAGAAGAATGGTTGAGGAGCAATAAATAAAAATAAAAAGCCCTTCTATGAACATGATGAAGGTTCTCAAATTCAATGGTAGATGTGTTGCTTGTGTAGGAACTCAAAAAGAAAATAGTGGTTCAGGGTTTGTGTAATTAAAAGTTGAAGTTTGGGGGTAATTAGGTTCTAAGGTGATGTACTTTAATGTTCCAATTCCTTTGATACTTAACCTTTGAATTCCCTTCTTTATCCCACCTTGATGTCCCTAGCCTCGTTACAACCCTCGTAAGACCCTTTGATTTGTGCATGTGACCATTCCTTAATGGTGGCGAAGTGATTCTCGGTAAGCCTATGAAGAAGCACCTTGATTGACTATTTGAGTGAATTGTCCTATTATTGAGCGCAATGAGCGAATCCATTAGAAAGGATGACCAATGTATGCATGTTTGATGATTTCAATGACGATGGTCTTGAGACGTATGTGATACTTGCATTTTCTTTGAACTTTTCATATCTAGACTCATTGATCATTGAGGTGGCTTAGTAAGTTCTTGAGTCCATAAGAGTGTGTAATGTGTTTCTACCATGGAGTTTCACGTTGGAACCTTCATTTCCCATCACGGGCTTAAGTGTGATGCGTTGTGTGTGAACCTTTGCACCCATTGTTGAGTCTTGGAATCTTGAACTATTGGGCGTTCCATAGACCGCATTATGATGTTGTAATTCTTGAACCATGTGAGTATTGAAATTTGAGTTGTGGAAAACTTTGAATCTTTGGTGTATCTCTTGAAGTGTATTCGGTTATCTTGACAAGTAATATGTGCTATCATATATAAGAATGAGTCTTTTTGCGTTTTGTGTAATCTTGAGATTGTATGCTAAATACATGTTTGTTCGGGACAAACAAAGGTTTAAGTGTGGGGGTATTTGATGTGAATCAAATATATATGTGATTTCATACCTCTTTTACTTAAATATAGACTCATTGTATGGTGTTAACATGTAAAATTGCACAAATCTTATGTTTTGTGGTCTTCCATTGTAGCACAAATGATTCATGCAAAATGGTTTGGAAATGGAGCAAAAATATCAATCAAATGACCAAAAGTTCAAGTGATGATCAACGACAAATGGTCTATCTTGAAGGGCTTATAACTTGAGCTAGAAGCCTCCGTTTGAAGCCAACCAAATATGCCTACGAAGCTCAGAGTGGGAACTACAACTTTCATGCAGAGCACTTCTTCAAATCCAGGCGTTTTAATGATAAAAAATTGCAGTTGAAGTCTCAACTGTCAGAACCCTGAAATCTTTAGAACTTCAGCAACAATTAGTCAAATTGCAGAGAGCATAACTTGATCTTCAGAGCTTGAAGTTAGATGTTCTTTATACCGTTGTGAAGCTGAAAGAGAGAGCTACGACTGTCATGAAGACCACTTCTCCTAATTCAGATGATACAATGGTCAAAAATATAAATGAATTTCAGTCATCAGATCTGTTCAGAAAATTTGCAGATTTTCAGGAAAAGTCATCCAATTGTCAGAGGCCATAACTCTCGATCCACAACTCCAATTTCAATGTTCAAGGTACCACTTCAAAGCTAAAGGCAACTTTTGTGAAGAAATCATCCCCAAACTATCACTCTACAGAGGAGAAAACTGGCGAAGAAAATACTCACTCAGGCTGGAAATGAAGCAATTCAACAAGCACCTTGGATGTAGCTCGATAACTCCATGAATTCGATCTGGAAACTCAAATTACAGCCTGAACAAATCCATCATAGTTATAGAGGAGATCTTGGGAGCATTTTGGTATAAGGTTTGTCCATTTTTATGAAGAAACGTCGGAGATTTGATCGGAATCCGACGATGGACTTCCGGTGCCGCCGGTGACTTCAAACGGGGAAGAAAGAATTTTCAAAACAATTGCAAACTAAACCCTCCCTTCCCAATGGATTTGCATAAAAGGGCCTTTGTTTGCTTGAAAAGAGAAGCTGTGCAAGATGTAGCCCTCAAGTTCTAAAAATGTCGAATAAACCCACGCATGTAATGCTATTGAGTCCTTAAATTTTCCCACTTATTCACACTTTGGTCCCCACGATGTCAATGGCTATAAATTGATATTTTGCAAACGGATTTAGGGACTTTGGACACTCAAAACTCACTCTAAGCTTAGTGTTCTAGGGTTTTCATGATATTAGCTTCAAATTAGACTAGATTAGTTCATTTTGTACACTATTTTGGAGCAAAAATTCAAGATTAGCTATGGATGAACATGGGTTGGTGTTTTTGTTAGATTGTGGTGATTCTCCATCTTGAAAGAAAAGTGGTAACATCTCTCCTCTTTATCCAATTCCAATGTCTTGTTTATTGTTAATCTTGGATGGTTTTTCTTTGAATGAGTAGCTAAATCTTCTTAAACTCCTAAAATTGAGGATGGGTGGTTGAGATTTCCTATATCCATAACAAGGTTAGTATAGGAGATGCATTTCCTATGTTGATTATTGTTAGGGGTTGTGTTTATTAAGTCCACTAACAAGGTTAGTATAGGAGATGCATTTTCTTTGAATTGATCATTTAAATGGCGTGTTATTAAACTCTCTTGAATGACTCTTTATCTTCAAGAGAGCATGAATTTGTTAATGGAACTCTATTAAACCTCATTTATGCATAAATAGGTTGAAAGGGTGAATAAAGAATGTTAATCGGGTTAATTAAATTGGTTAAGTCACCTAGGGATAGGGAGTTAGTCATATGATTCTAGGAACTAGGAATAGAACCGAGAGTGAAAAATAAACATCATTCCTTCATTAACATGATCTTAACATCAATTGACATGGATTAAAGTAGTTAAAACCACCCTACTCATTTCTTAGGAGTTACTTCCACCTTGTCCATTGTTGTGTTAATTGTTTTCTCTCAATTTTCATTTACAGTTTAAGCTCCATATTTCGTTTATTTTGCGAGTTTATCGTAGTATTCTAGTATAATTTTCTTATAAGACTTTTGAAAACTTTAACTCTTTCTCCTTATTACCTCCATTTTGTGTTTAGTGTAATTTAAAGTAATAGGAAATTTCAACTTCACTCTAACCAACATTGTAAACTCCGACTCCTCGTGGGATCGACCCTACTACCACTACTACAACCCAAAACGTATCCTTGCGTTTAAGTTGAGTGGTATTAGGTTATTTTGTTCTTGAAGTGCACATATTTTAATAACCTAAAATACCCTGCTTCAGAGACCTAGTTGTAAATAGTTGCAAGTTAGTGTTAGTTAAGGCGGTTAAGTTATGTATATATACTCAATGTGTCTGTACAGAGTTATTATCAGACATAATAATCATTTTGAGCAGTAAATACAAAATCTTCTTCTTGGATATTCCGTCAAAACCAAATCTTCAATCTTCATCGATTACTTTGCTTCTGCTACCAATTTTAGAAATCTCAGATTCTGCCGATTAATCTGCGAATAGAAGTCGAAAAATCCACGACATAGCCAGCGCAAACAAATATCAACTCGAACTGATAGAAGTATTTAGGCCATGCCAGAAATTCAAGCACTTGATCTCATTAGAGTTGCAAGAGACAGACAGTAGAGCAACCATAGATGATGATGATTATGACAACCCGAATTCTAATTCTTGAGTTTTGAAATTAGAAAATTTTGGAGATGGCCCGTGTGAAGAAGCAATCTAGCCAAAGAAGAAAAAAAGGGGGTAGGGGAGCGGAAAAAAAATATTGTGTTTGTTTTTTTCTGTCATACCCACCAACCTGACTGGGAATGTAAAATATAACTTTTTTGGGATTGAATCCCTGGTTGGTGGGCCCGATTAGCGAACCAAGCAGAACAAATGGGATTGAGACCCATAGAACGGAAATGATACACCCCAACCAGGCAACCCCTAAATATTGTCAATTATAGTCACTGCAAAAAAGAATTTTTTCAAAAATAATCATTCAACAACAGAATCCTGCCAAATTTGTTACTGAACTATTTGTAGTTCTGAAATGGTCATTACACTAATAAAAAGTGTTTCAAGTTGGAATTTAAAATATAAATCAGAAAGTTGTTTGGATGATGTTTTCTTTTTCATTGGGTTTTGTGTTTAAGAGGTAAAATGAGTTAAAATGTAAAATGAGTGGACGATATTTGAATGAACTTTAAGCCTCAATTCTCATAATGTATCAAAAACTATATGAAACATACCTAAGAAGTTGAAGGGTGGAATTGAAATTGGAGGCATGTTAGGGGACTAAGAATAAAAGTTGAAAAAGCGAAGGAATATCCCCAAACGCAAAATTTTTAGTTTAGGGTTTTTGCTCAACCGTATAAAAACCAAACTCTTCGGCCTCCGCTCTCTGTCTCTCTCTATCCCGTAAAGGTTCCGTCTGTGCAGATTCCTTCCACCGTCGTCGAAATCCAAGTCCAAAAGTCATGGCCGTTACCTTTAAGGATCTTCACACCGAGTCTGGGCTCAAATCCCTTGATGAGCATCTTGCTGGGAAGAAGTACATATCTGGGTATGTGTTAAAAAATCTTGAATTGTTGCTGAATTGGTTCTCTTTGTTTTCTGAAATATTTTTTTGGAAGGGATTCTGATTTGTGTTTGAATTTCAGGGATCTGATCACTAAGGATGATGTGAAGGTTTACGGCGCTGTTACGAAGGAACCCAGCTCCGATCTGTACCCTAATGCCAGCCAATGGTACCAATCTGTCTCCTCAAAGCTCAGCGCAAGGTAGTTTCCTTTCGTAAAACTATGAAAGTAGTGATATTTTAATGAATCTGAATTCCTTTGAGTTGCTCTTGGTTAGTTTGAACAGCAAATGGAGTTCTGATTTTGTTTATTTCAGTAAACTATGGAAGTACTGATTTTTCAATGCATTTTGTTTGTGTAGCTTCCCTGGAAAAGCTGTTGGAGTAAGATTTGGCGGAGGTGCTGCTGCAGAAGCCGCTCCAGCTGAGGTGGCCAAGGTATTACTACTACTTTTCAATTGAATTCTAGGCCTAGTTTATTCAGCCGTCACTTTCAGTTCATGCTTATGAAAATATTCCACCTTTATCTTGAGATGTTATTTTGAGTTGGGGCAATTGTTTACCTTGTAATTGTACAAACTGGAATTATGAATTAGTTTTGAATTTGAATTATCAGAAACAGGAACGGAGAGCTCTCTTGTATTGGTTCACTAACACTTGCTGATAATAGGCTCTTCCTAGTGGAGGGATTCTATAACATGAATCTGAATGGTGCTGTTTATCTTGTAATTGTACAAACTAGAAGTTACAAGTATAGTCATTGGAAGAAAGTAGCTTGAGTTTGAATTATCAGAAACTAGAGGAGTGGAAAGCTCTGTTCTATTGGTTGACTAGCGGAAAGAGTAGTGATAATAGGCTCTTCCCAATGAAGGGATTCTATAACATGAATCTGAATGCTGGTTGTATGACTTATTCCATCCAAACTTTGTGTAACTAATTTTGAAATATATATTAGAATATCAACATTACTTTTATCTTATTACGCTTTTACATCAGTGCTGTTTTTGTCACTTAGAGATAATATGTTAAAATGCTCAGTCTTTGGGCTGTATTTATGCAAGTGACAGATCATAATAAATTAATCATGTGGATGAATTTCTTTGCTGTTATTGTTGTTTTTCCTAGAAAGGCATTCATATATCTAATTGTTGTTGCAGTAGGGGGTTTTATGCTTATTTTGGCAGTGTAGCTTAACCAAGCTATGATTTTGTGTGCCAGGAAGCACCCGCTGATGGTGATGATGATGACCTTGATCTATTCGGTGACGAAACAGAGGAAGAGAAGAAGGCAGCAGAACAGAGGGAGGCTGCAAAAGCATCCACCAAGAAGAAAGAGAGTAAGTCTCTATGGATGTTGATTTCTGCAGTGTGCTTAAATAGTGTTTTTAATTATGTGGAGGATGATTGCAAACATTGTGTTGGAACTTGCCTGGTCATGTTTGGTCTTTGCTAAATTTCTTAGATTGCTTAAGGACTTTATTTATTTAATCTCATTTTTTGTGCCCATTTAATTTGTCCTGACAATAAGCTTTTATTGGCAGGTGGGAAGTCATCTGTCCTTTTGGATGTCAAGCCATGGGATGATGAGACTGACATGAAAAAGCTTGAAGAGGCAGTTCGCAGCGTTGAAATGGAAGGGCTTTTGTGGGGAGCATGTATGTTCTCTTCTGTTTACTCTTTCTAGGTTTCAAATGCAAAGTTGCTTTCACAATAACCTCTGCATTTGTTTTTTTTCCTGCCTGTCATTTTATGCTAGTCTTATGACTACCTTTGACCCAAATGAAATGATTAAGGATACTGTTAGTCTAAAATTCCCTTGTAATACTACTTCCCATTTCCCCCCATGTGCCCTTTAATCTATTATTGGTCATAATTTATGTTTGATTGTTAAGTGAAGCTACTTTCTATAATCTTTGTATACACTGAAAGGCCCCGGTAGAGTCGGAAAGTCACCTCATGAGACACTGAGATTTTCTGTTTACTCTTGTGCAGCGAAATTGGTGCCTGTGGGATATGGTATTAAGAAGTTGCAGATCATGCTTACAATTGTGGATGATCTTGTCTCAGTCGACGATCTCATTGAGGAACGTCTTACTGCCGAGCCCTGTAATGAATATGTTCAAAGTTGCGACATCGTTGCCTTCAACAAGATTTAAGATCAGTTCCAGGAAACTATAAGTTTTGTTAGGATCTATGTACTCTTTCGTGATCTGGGATTTAAAAGATTTTGCTTGTGGCATGTGACATGCGTGATTGATACTTGTTGCAAAACTACATATATTAGAACCTTGGTCTCCTGATTGAGTATGGGCTTTAAATTTTGGTCAAACTAATTTTTACCCAGGTTTTTGTTTTCTGATTTCGCAAACTAAGAACTTACCGCCTGCTTTAAATTACCAGAATAACTAGACAAATCAGGCTCTTTGAACGCCCTGGATATGTAGGTTTTTTTTTATAAAATTATCTTTAAGACTAGCCCAAAATTCAGTTATGTTGGAATTTTAAGTTTTTATTAATTCAATCAACTGCACAAAATGGGGGATTACAATTCAAGCTACTGCACAAGATGGACGCTATTCACTTGGCCATTGACAGGTGTTATTTTAGAGAAACATTTTGTAGATACTTGTTTCATTGGGAATGGCATTACGAGGGCTTCAACCCCAGTTCAAACTAAGGATAGAAAAAACTACTAGCAAACGAGTTTACTAGGCCTTTATGGAGAACTAGCTGTTCCATAAGCGGGGATAGATAATAATATTTTAATGAATTTATAACAAAAATATATCATTCTAGAAAACGAAAGTCTATTTCAACAATTTCTTTTTCGACAGCTCTAAAATTGATTTTAGAGATTGGATTTGGGGGAAATATGAGAGATCTTACAACGAATCGGAGAACAGCGAGAGAGGGAGATATAATTAGTCAAAAGATATTCAGGGTGAGTGTAAAGTGACAATGCTATATTTTGATCAAGTTTAAAATCACTTTAAAATCCCTAAATATAGTGATTTGATTTATTACGAAAAGCTGAAAATCAGAACAGTTATGTACGTAAACCTGAAATATCAAAATTCGAGATTTGATTATGACTACAATTAATACTAGATCCGCCCGGGCGCTCCCGTATTTTAACTTAATTTATTAAAATGAATTACAAAAAATTATTTACAGACATATATCAATATATGTATATGAAATGTTCAGTTATGTATACAAATAATACTATATTGGTTTCATAAAAAAATGATATATTGTCAAAAGTAAATTATTAATAGTCTAAATGATAATTTTAGACTAATAGCCCAATGACAGTATAGTTCATTTCGGCTCCCTCTATTGTTTGCATAATTTTACTTCCGTAATTATGTCCGGGTGCCTCCGTATTTTAACTTAATTTATTAAAATGAATTACAAAAGATTATTTATAGACATATATCAATATATGTATATGAAATGTTCAATTATGTATACAAATAATACTATATTGGTTTCATTAAAAAAATAATATATTGTCAAAGACAAATTATTAATAGTTAAAATTTACACAGTGTAGTAAAAAAAAATATATTAATAATATTTTGCTTAATTGTCTATTTTAAAATTAGCTAGACAATAAAGAAGAAAAAATATCAGTTTGTATTATATTTTTTTGTGCAAGCCCAAAGCATAATCTACAACTCAACATAATTGCCAATTTAAACCCAAATTCCAGACATGCAGTAAAATTAACTATTTCATATTTAAAAAAAAAACAAAAGAGGAAATGGATGTCAAATTTAGGAAACCGAGGACCCTTCTTCTGGTCTCGAAAATTATACTGAGGTTGAAAAAGAAAATCCCATTTCGAAGAAAACAAAGCAACAGACACTATCTGTATATGCCATCTTACTATATGTCATCGGGAGTAATTTTCTATCCTAAAATCATCCCATTTCCTGCAATCAAATTTCTGTTTAAATATATGTTTCTGTGCGAAAGAATTTCACGGTGAATGTAAGAGAAATTTGTATGAATCGAAGCTGGTTACAAAAAGGAAGATTGAAGATTCTTCATTCGAATGGGGAAAAGTCCAGATCTACATCCCCTTTTCGTTTGTACATTTGAATCAAGTATATCTAGATTGTTTAAGCTAATTATTGAGCTGAGACAGTAACAAAATTTGAGGTTACAAACGAATCAAAAACCCTTCGATGATTTCAGATCTAACAGGTAATGGTGTTTTTTTTGTTATAGTAATATCATTTTTTTTAATTTATATGAATACAATTGAGGGAAACATTTGTTTATTTACAAACCTTAAATTGTTTTTTTGTTCTTGATTTTTGACGATGCTTGGATATGCGCCGCCGGTTTAACGGTGGAACTCCGGTTAGGGTTTCCTGCAAAACAGGGCCTCGGGGTCTCCCGAGGGTAGACACTCCGATACTTAAGTTAGTAAGAGGGTTGCTAGAAAGCTTAGGTATGTAGTTTGTTAAGCTATAAATTGTGTACGTGTACTGTGGTATGAGCTACCCTATTTATAGGTATGAGAATACCTGAGAAAATCCCGAATCCCATTAGGTTTCAGGAATCTCCACCGCCTTAAGAGTCCCGATTGGACTCTTTCTTAGGTTTGTGGGCCGGTCCAGTCTCGGTGGTGGATATGGACTCATCAAGTGCCCCTTCCAAGTGTTAATGGCGTAAAGGTAAACAACGCTTGGCACAAAGTAAGTATTACCTGGGACATACCCGAGAGTGGACAGACTGCTCTCGTTCGGCTGATTATCGAGCAACGTGTCAAACGACCTCGATGCGAACGCACAACCCTCGATCTCAAAAAACCGAGTGTAACTGGCGGGTTAGGTCTTGACCCAGGAAGACGACCCGCTTCCTAATCCCGCCCAAATTTCAACTGCCCGTTATTAGTGGGCACGTTCCTCAAACGGCGGCCTTACCATCATTACTTCCTTAAAATCCGCAATAACTATCATATCGTGGTCTGTAATTAGGGAAACGTGGGAGAATAAATTTTATTTTTAAGGAGAAAGTCCTACCGTCCCCTTGCACTTAACCATTTTCCTTCTTTGCAAAAAACACCAAATTCTCTCCTCTGTTAAAGCATTCCAGTCCCCAATCTACTTTTCTTCACCAGAGCATTCTAATCCCCCCTCCCCCCCGACCGGAATATTCAAGCTTTCACCGGAGATACTGCCCCAGCGACGCTGTTTCTAGGGGAGTTGGAACGCTGGGAAGTTATAATTCGAAAGTCGAGTGGTCATGTCCTCCTCCCATAGTAAGTTTCCAGATCTGAATCTCCGGTTTGTTCCATATTTTTGTCTTTTCCAATTGTAGCTAGAGTAGATTCTTGCTGGAATTTTGGTTAGGGACTCCGAAGGAAAAACTGTCTTGGACTTTGTATCCACCATAGATTCGGTCGATAAGATAGAGAACCTTAGATCCAAATATGACATCCCTTCAGCCCTAGAGGCGAGAGCCCCATTAGGAAACGAGAGGGCTAACTCTCCTCCAGGAGTGGAAGAATTAGTGTGTATGACCGATTCATGCACCTAGGGCTTAGATTCCCCCTCTACCCCCTATTTGAGGAGATTGTGCAACACTATAGGACTCCTCTCGCTCGTTTTACCCCAAATTTAATTAGATTTGTACTGGGGTTTGCGAGAGTATACCGACATGTAAAAGTAATACCTCGATTAGTATTATGGAGGTATTTCTTCCAAGTAGTTTTGGCCTCGACCTCTTTCCAGGACTGGTATATCGTGAAAAGGCGCCTTAGAGCCGGCGTGAAGAAGATGGTCGAGGCGTATGGCGGCTCCCCGGAATGGAAACCGGACTTTTTGTTTGTAAAGGCGCCCTCGAGTTATTGCTTGCCATGGAATCTCCGAGAGACAGAGGGTCTCGGGGCCATAAAGGATGAATGGACCCAAGAGGATGAAAGAGTGCGTCGAGGAGCTCCAGGCAGATGTGAAAAAGATTCTAAAATATTCCAAGGTCGTTAAATGGAACGACGTACAATATTATGTGCCTCCTGTATATGCGAAGGAAGGTGATACGGTCAACGTCGAGGGTGCAACCAGAATTCCTCTCGAAACTTCTGTTGAAGAAAATCAAGGTACTAATCATTTTCTTTTTTTCTTCTTTGCTGTTAGGTCATGTCGTCAAGCAATGATGGGTCTTGATTGTTTGGTGACGAAGATCCTTTTGTCATTGTGAATTCAAATGGGGATGTTACTATCACTGCTGCGCCTCAGAAGAAGAAGAAGAAAAGGATCGTAAAGGTGAGTGATAGGGCGAAATCCAAGAAAGCTAAAACGGATGTGCCCTCGAAGGAGACCACGCAGCCGGGTAACGAGACGGTGCCCCTGACCACGGAGTTTGTTTAGAAACCTCTGGCGGAAGCAGGGCCAAGCACTGTCCCCCCTGTGGCAGAAAAGGGCAAAGGCCCCCTCGAGGGAGAAGCAATAATCTTGGCCCCTCAACTGTTCGAGGGAGGCCCGTCTGTGGCAATACACACCTTTAGCAACCCACTGTCAATCGAGTGTCCTGTCCTTGAGGAATTCGCTGCTCAACTAAATGAAGCCGACAGTCTGAGACTGGTAAGTGATTTTGCAGATTATGTTGCAAATGCATATGTATATCGATGTGCTCTTGATATGCAATGTTGGTGCAGATAAGTGCGGCCTCGATGGCCTATCTAGTGCAGTTAAGGAAACTTCGAGAAGATCTGGCTACAGCTCGGGCGGAAAGGGATGAGGTGTTGTTCGAGGTGGTTACCCTCGAGGAGAAGGCTCGCCAAGTTCAAGCTAAGGAGGCTGAGATTGCCAAGGTGCAGGCTAAATATGACGAGTTGGATGAGAAGATGAAGTCGTTTGCTAGTCTGTACATCTTCAAATAGGAACTGCATCAGTGGTGTACTGCCTTCATGAACAAAATGATGTCTACAGGAGGGATGGCTGTAGCTCTCGAAGAGATGAACTTGGTTGTCACGAAGTGCGGAGTGCACCGAGTTGGCGTGGCAGGGTTGAAGAGGCCGATTAAGGCTAAATGGTTGAAGCAGCTCCTGATGAAGCACTCGAAGAAAACCATGCACGAAGCCATGGTGAAGGTCTTGACAAAGTTGAGTCTCGAGCAGCTACCTCTGTGGAGAGCTTTAACCGGTGCCATGGCGAAAATGAGTTCTCCTACGGAGATCGCCTTGTTCCCGGGTGATGTTCCTGTTATCCTGGCCAAGGGTCCAAGTGAGGAAGACCCTATACCCGATGTACCCGATGAGTACATGGATATCGAGCTCGAGGACGCCGATGAAGCCACCGAGGAGGACGTTGCTGATACCGGCCATTCTGGTGTCCAGAGAACTGTCGAGGACACCTCCCAGGACCCTTCCAAGGACCCCTCTCCAGGCAGTGATGCTGTATGAATTCTGCCCCTTGTAATAGCTGCTAGGCCATTTAAACTATCATTTTTCTTTGTAATGAACTGATTTCTTTATTTCGTCTTTTCACGAATTTACGCAAGCATGTTTTCCCCTTTTTTTTCTTTGTCCTCTATTTTCTTTCTCTTTGGTTTGATGTAAGCGTCTTATACTCCTCTGGTGAAATAGGAAAGTTGGACCGTCCACCGTGTTCACCTCATGGTGTTGTCGGAGGAGCAATCGAGGGAGTTCCCATTATATTCTATGATTAGCGGGATTCTGAGAAGTCGTGCCGATGTGCACAGCCTCGAGACGGTGGCACATTTAGAGAATGACCTACTCGATGCAATGAGGACGCACAATGTAAAGGTTAACCAGCATCTCATAAACGAGATTAAAGGACTCCGCGATGCAGCGTCGAGATGTCCAAAGTTTGAAAGACCACAGTGATTATTTGACTTTCGAGGCCGAGATTCACGATGAGCTGGTTACCTTGGAGAAAGAAAACTCTCGGCTGAGGGCAGGATAGCAGATTACTGTGTCTCCCTGGTTTCTCGAGAAGCATCAAGTGTTAGCCCGAGTCCAGCACATGATTATGGTCAGGACTCGCCATTTTATCACAGCCATGGATATACTGAAAGAGAGATCTCATGAGATCGAGCTTCTTACAGACTATATTGCCCAACTGCAAAATCTACTGCTGGATAACAACATTAACTTCGAGGCTTTCAAGCGTCCGGAGGAAACTGTGGATCCTCGAACTCGGAGTTCTCGAGAAGAGTTCTTGATGAGGGTGCACGCTCAGGACATAGAGATCGTGGACCTTAAGGATAAATTGAATCAATGTGTGAATCTCCTTAGCCTACATGGGTATAAGGGGATTATCCATTCCTCCTCCGACAATCCTGTCAGGGAGGTCCTTGTAATAGTGTAAGAAAATATATGTACTTTCTGCGAGTTCGCACAGTAGTGTGGAACGAGTTGTTATTTATTTTACTCGAGTATTGATATAAAGCGCTTTTTAGGCCGGATGTAAAGTACACGGCGCTATCACAGGAATTGGGTACGAATTCCTTGACCTAACACTGCGTTTAGCAGTGTGTGTGAGGAAAATTCCTCGAGTTTGTGTCCGGATGTTGAGTACACGGCTCTTGAACGAGGATGGCCCTAAAGAGGGAGTCCATCTCGATGACTAGTCATGAATGCAATGCTGTTAATGAAAAGAATATGTAATGTCTTTTATTGAATAATTTCTCGAGGACCCGGGTTAGAATTACATATGAGAGTATAAAACTGACTGGGTAAATAAAACAAATAAAACACATAATAGGCAAATAGCGGACAAAGACTCAAACATAGAACCTGCGAAGATTCAGAATATTCCACCATTGAGGAAGAATAGTCCCGCTATCATCCATGGCCTGTAGGCGGTAGCTGCCTGCTGGGAAAGCCTGGATAACCTTGTAAGGCCCTTCCCAATTTGCCGTGAGTTTTCCAGGAGTTTCTGCTCGACTGGCCTCGTTTTTCCTTAGTACAAGGTCACCCACAACGAGATCCGTGACTTTCACCTTCTTGTTGTAATATCTGTGCAGAATCTCTTTATACTTTGCTTCTCGGATTCTGACGGCGTCTCGACGTTCCTTGAGCAGGTCAAGGTTTAGCCGGATGTCATCATCATTGGTACTCTCGACGAAGTTTATGGTTCGAGGACTCGACAAGCCTATTTCGACTGGGAGGACGGCATCCATGCCATAGACTAAGCTATATGGTGTCTCGTCGGTCGAGGAATGGGCAGTTGTTCGGTATGACCACAGGACGTGGGGAAGCTCGTCGGCCCATGCCCCCTTGGCATCATACAACCTGGCCTTGATCCCATACAATATTGTTCTGTTGATGGATTCGGCTTGCCCATTAGCTTGGGGATGAGCTACACTTGAGAAGCGACGCTCGATTTGCATTTCGTCGCACCATGACTTGAAGGTATTGCTCTCAAACTGGCTCCCATTGTCGGAGACGATAACCTTCGGGATTCCAAAATGGCATACTATGTTCTGCCAAAAAAAATCCAAGATTTTCCTCCCTGTGATCGAGGCCAGGAGTTTGGCTTCTACCCACTTAGTGAAGTAATCTACTGCTACAATGACCCATCTTACTCCTCCTACCCCCTCCGGATGAAAGGGGCTGATGACGTCAGTGCCCCATTGGTAGAATGGCCAAGGGCTTTGGATGGTGACCATCTCGTGCTGTGGCTGTCGGGTGATGGGAGAGAAACGTTGATACTTCTAGCATTTCCGTACCCACTGGTAGGCGTCTTTGAAAACTATCGGCCAGAAATATCCTGTTCGCAAGACCTTCTTGGCGAGTGCTCTTGCTCCCATATGAGCTCCACACGATCCCTCATGTACTTCTTCGAGTACGTAAGCTGCCTGTTTTGGGCCAACACACCTTAGCATGGGTAGCAGGTATCCATGCTTGTATAGGATGCCGTCTCGCAATGTGTATTTGACCGCCTTCAATCGGAGGGTTCTGGCTTCTGCTTTTCCGCTTGGCAACGTCCCATCTATAAGGTATTGGATAAACGGGGTCATCCAAGTATTGCCGTCCTCGACGATGGCCGTTACGGGGGCATCCTGGATGCTAGGGTTGGGGAGAATCTCGACCCATACTTTGTGGCTGAGGTGTGCAAAATTCGAGGAGGCTAGCTTGCTGAGGGCGTCGGCCCTTTTATTTTTTGAGCGGACTATGTGCCACACGGTGCATTCTTCGAACTTGTCCTTGATGTCGAGGACTTTCTCGAGATAGCGCTTGAGTTGCTCGTCGTTTCCTGTGTATTCTCCCAATATTTGTTTCATCACTACCTGAGAATCACTAAAAACTTGGATTTTGCAGACCCCGAGCTTTAGTGCCATGTTCAGTCCTACTATCAGTGCCTCGTATTCTGCTACATTGTTGGTGACTGAGAAACCGAACCTTAGTGCGTATGTATATTCTGCGTCGTATTCCCTCATGCTCTCGATGTCGGGATCAGCTGGAGGTTTGGATAATATGATACCGGCTTCTCCCCCTTCATCGCAATGAGAGCGGTCGACGTATAGTGACCAGGCTCGAGGGTTGATGTTGACGCGAGTAGTGGGATCATCTTTAGGCTCCGCCGTTTCCTTGATGATCCCATTGTGGTGAGGTGTGCTTGAAAGTATGGGCGCAGATGTCGGACGGCTAAGACTAGGCTGAGGATAAGCCTTTCCATAACAGGGTTCCGCTCCTTGCAAGACTTCGCTAACAAAATAGACAGGGACTTCTCTGCCATCTTTGTGCTACACGAGCACGGCCAAGATGGCTCTCTCTCGAGCCGCCAGGTAAATGTATAGTGTTTCTCCTGGCTCAGGCTTGGCTAATGTGGGCAACTACTTGAGGTGCTCCTTCAGGTCTTGGAAGGCCTTCTGACATTCTACATTCCACTCGAATTTTCTGCCCTTGCAGAGGGTATGAAAAAATGGAAGGCTTCTCTCCGCGGCTCGAGACAGAAACCTGTTCAAGGCTGCCAAGGAGCCTGTGAGTTTTTGAACTTCTTTGATGGTTTTTGGAGCCTCCATGGCTAAGATGGCCTCGATTTTAGCTGAATCAACACTTATTCATCCTTGGAGACTTGGTATCCTAGGAATTTTTCTGACCCTACACAGAAGGTGCATTTTTTAGGATTCAGCTTCATGTTAATTTTGCGTAATATTGTGAAAATCTTCCGCATATCTGCAGCCACTTGCTTATCCTTATTGGCCTTTATCACCATGTCATCCACATAAATCTTGATGTTCCGGCCGATTTGGTCATGAAAGGTTCTGTTTACGAGACGCTGGTACGTGACTTCAGCATTTTTCAGTCCAAAGGGTATCTTGTCGTAGCAATATACCCCTATCTCGGTGATGTAAACTGTCTTCTCTGCATCTTCCTGTGCCATGAGGATCTGATGATATCCCTTGTATGTGTCGAGGAAGCTGAGGACTCTGTATCTGGCAATGCCTTCCACCATCTGATCTATGACTGGTAGAGGATAGCAGTCCTTGGGGCAATGTTTGTTGAGGTCGATGTAGTCTTGGCACATACGCCAAGAGTTGTCGGGTTTTCGTACTAAGACCGGGTTGGCTAACCAAGTAGGCCATAGAACTTCTCGGAGTATGTTGGCACGAACTAGCTTCATTGTTTCCTCATTGATGACATCATTGCGTTCGCGAGCAAATACTCTTTTCTTCTGTTGCACTGGTTTGATATTTGGGTCAACATTTAGCCTATGTTCCATGACTTCTCGAGGGACACCTGTCATATCCGCTGGGGACCAGGCGAATATATCGCAGAACTCGCGTAGCAAGGCACTGACCTCAGCTAGCAATGGGTCTTGGAGAGAAACGCCAACTTGAACGGTCTTGGTGGGATCAGTCTCACTCAGGATCAACTCTCGCGTCTTGCTGCTGAACGAGGGAAGGCTAGAGATCTCGGGATTTTCCGCCTCTGTTGGGTTGACCGTTTGTTGAATTGAGTAGCATTCTAACACGGCGGAGCCCGGGTTAAGGTGTGCGGTCTTCTTTCTGATTCTAACTGCTGTGAGTAAGCACTCTCGAAAGCTCCGCTGGCATCCTTTCACTACTCTCACTCCATATTCTGTTGGGAATTTCATTACCAAGTGATAGGGAGACCATATTGCACGTGCTTGGCACATCCAGGGTTGCCCTAGGATCACGTTGAACGACGAGGGCGCATCGGGCAAAATCCATGGTTAAGGTGACCATCCTAGGATGCGACCCTACCGAGATGGGTAGGCTAATTATTCCTGTGGGGATAATAGTGTGACCTGAGAATCCCATCAGGGGCATTGTAGCTGGGCGGATACAAGGGTTCTTGATATTCATTTTCTTGAAGCAATCACTATATATGATGTCGACCGCGCTGCCGTTATCCACGTAAACCCTTCCGACTTTTATGTTTGCGATTATTGCTTTTATGACCATAGCGTCACTGTGGGGACAAATGTTTGGGACCACATCGCTATTTGTGAATACGATGGCCTCCGTTCCTTTGAACCTTTTGTGGCTAGGCTCTTGTCGAGGAGTTTTGGTGACGGTTCGCAATGAGTTCTTCATGGCTGTGGTGGATAAGACTTCGAGGGGAGCTTCGTAAATAGCTCCTACCTGGTGAGTGATTAGCTTCGTTGGATCCACCGGGTGGAGTTGTTAGAGTGGCTGTGGTGCTGCTTCAGTAATGTGATAAGGTTGTTGTTGGGTATTAGCTCTCGGTTGCCAATTGTTTCCTCGTCCATTTCTCCGTGGTGGGCCTCTAAAGTTTCTTTTAGGGTGATCTCGTAATTGGGGTCTGTTATTCTTCTGCCGGGAGGTTGTTCCTTGCACATATTGCTGAAACTTCCCAGATTTAACCCCATTCTCGATTTCTCGTTTAAGCTC